AATTAATCACACTTTATTAGTATATAGGGCCTTCCACTTTATCATCTGGATTAAAAAAAAAAAACGTTTCCTGCTGAGTGCAGAAAGGTAGGTAGGTGCATCGCCAGGTTCTATCACCGGGATTGGAGCAGTTATTGCAGTTGAAAGTCAAAGTTGGCTGTTCATGTTTAGGCCCTGTTCTTTATTTGGCCATCTACCCCCGATAGGCGTTATCACAAGTGTATTCGCGGCCATTGGGGCGACGTAAGAAAAGAAGAAACCAACTGGCCCCAAGAACTTTAAATTATCAGTTAGCATGCACCTTTTCCTTGATGTGTAGAGAATTTACCATTATTTGTTACAGAAAATTGCATTTAAAATCTTCCATTTATGCTTTTTTCATCGTCTGCACAATATGTTCTTTTACTAAGCTAGAAACACTAATTAGAAATAGTTCCCGCATCATCAAGAACAATAGGGAAGGCTTGAAGTGAATAAAATAAGTCAAACGGTTTTGTAATCTATGTGAAGGCACTTCTAAAATTGCCTGTAGAAATATTGAAGGCAAAAGTTCAACTTTTTCACAAGACGGATGTCTATAAACCTATTTAACTTGTGACAACTCAGCCGGTATTTCGTCGCCTCCAGCCCAGCTTTCCCTAGTGACCGATAGAGGCGCTGCTATCGATGTCCGCCCGTGCCGCCTAACGCATATTGCAGTTGTGATGACAAGCAGTTTTCAGTGTAGTTTTGTGATCTTTGATGTCATCAATTGGTGTCATTATTTTTCGTCAACTAAAACTTATTTGAACTTTCCATTCAATCGACTCAATCATACCAGTCACTCTGATTTTCGGGAATCAAATCAGTCAACCAGTCGCTTAAGTCAAACGAGTCAGTCAACCAGTCATCTCGAAAAGTCAATCGACTCAATCCAATCAACTCAAAATACGCGTTGAAACAAATCAATCAATTCAATCGACTTGATTGGTATACAACCGTGTGTCGCTGCGTGGCCCAGTGGCGGCTCAGCCCACCCGCAGCAGGGCGTGAAAATCCAGAAGCCCCAATGGGGCACGTGTCAATAAACCATTGACGAGGATTTTGCATACCACAAAAAATATAACAAAGACTGATTACTTTGTTTGATGGCGCTTTTAAAGGGACCCTCCCACCTTAACATTAGTTTTGAGTTGAGATAGCCAAGTTTGCGGCCAGGCTCAGAAACCACCATTTATCCTGGTCGCAACCCCCGCAGCTTTATGGTGTTCAAGAAATTTCTTCCCTTTACTTGCAGGGTGGGACCAGCGTGGTCCCTATCTCTTAACCATTACGGGAATCTGATGACGTCATCAGGCTTTCGAACGTCCGTTAAATGTTTGACTAAAACGTTTTGTAGCACGCGGTGGTATATGCTGCTTTGCGCGCAACAAATGCCGCACTTTCAAATAAAGTCGCTAGGAACAGCGGAGATCCCAAAAAGTAAACAAAAGTAAAAGTCTAATATCTTGAAAACCGGTGAATATTTTTCGATGAAATTTGGTAGATATTCGTTTTTGCTCTTTCTGAACCGAGCAACATCACTTTCATGCCAATCCATTAACTTTTTTGAAGGTGGGAGGGTCCCTTTCATGCGAGCCACTGCTGGCCCCCGATATGGTTGTGTACGAGGGGCGTTCAAAAAGTTCCCGGCCCGACCATGAAGGAGTTGGAATTTCGGCCTGCAACGCGGTGTGTTCAATGATGTGTTATTGGAATGTCCACTTACGTAGCCATTAACCAATCTGCCCTGTGATTGGTTCATGCTGCTAATTAATCGTAACATAGTTTGCCATTCCCGGTCAGAATGAGCGACGCCCAGAAGAGAACAGTGATTTGGTTCACGTATTGCAGAAAAATGCATCAAACGTTATTCACGAAAAGCTAGTGCCAACACATGTTGGGGTTTGTCTTTCTTACAGTAGCGTCAAAAAGTGGGCATCTCTGTTCAATTTTGGTCCACAGATCATTAATGGTCAACGCCGCAGTGGCCAGTCATCAACAGCATTGACTCAAGAAAATGTGAAAAATAAGCAATTCTTTGTGAAAATGGCACATGTTCTGGTCTGGAACAACGCAGCAGAAGCAGCGGTGTCTATCAGGTTCCTCAAAGCCATTCTTGGACAGCGCATTGATATGTTTAAGATCTCTGCAAGATGCATCCCCCGTTTGCTGACTCCAGAGGAAAGGCAAACTCGAAAGGAGGCGTAACGCGAAAATTTTGGCCTCTATATTGAAAATCCAAAAGAGTTCATTGAACTACTTGTTATCGTGGAGGGATAGTGGGTGTCACACGTTGACCCCAAGGGCGTGACCGAGTTGCACAAGTGAAAGCACACTGAGTAAAGGCCACCAAATGTGTGCGACGTGTTTAAGTCAGACGGCAAGGTGACAGTGGTTGCATTTTGGGATGCTGGTGGGGCCCTGCTCGTCAACTTTCTAAAACAGGGGCGCACAATTAATGATGAAAGCTACACCTCCCTTCGATAACAGTAGCGAGCAGTGCAGATATCAAGGAGAGACTAGGGAAGCTGGCTAAAATTGTGCGCCTGATCCATGGCCACGCACCAGCACACATGAGCAGGGTGACGATCAGCGAAGCAGTGAGCTGTGGCTTCGAGTTGTTGTCACAGCCACTTTTTTCTCCGTACCTTGCACCCTCAGGTTGCCACCTCTTCCCCAACATAAGGAAATTGCTTAGCGTGGCAACTTCGCGGACAGCAAGGAGACAAAAGCAGCCGTCTTGGACGTGCCAGATGCGTCCAAAACCCACTTGGCTATGGAGACCCAGGGGCCTCTCGCGAAGCGCTGCGCGAAATGTTTTTGTCTTAGCGCTGGTTATTTGACTAAATGAACATTTTTGGTCTAATAAGTCGACGTCGTATCTCTGCTCCTTCATGGTCGGGCCGAGAACTTTTTGAACGCCCCTCGTACATATAGCGGACGCCGGTCAGCGATGTCAGTGGCCTCTCCTCAGTGGGGATTTATGCCGCCAATCCCTGCTCCCACCCAATGATCCGGACCGAGCCGGCGACGTCACTGCCGGCGGGTGACGTCACCGTCGGTGTGTGACGTCACTGTCTTGGGCTGACGTCGGCGCCTACGCCTGATTGGTGTGCCGGCTCCACTCGGGGTCAGCGGAGCGTGGAGCCGCGGGGCGGACTCGGCCCCAGTGCTGGCAGTGACGGTCCGCCGCCCGCCCTCTCTGCCGCCTCGGGCGCCGGCTAATGATCCCCAGCACTCAGCAGTGCCCGTGGCTCCCAGACCGAGACATGGCCTGGGTTTGAAATGAGTAGTTGTTGGTGTTTAGCTCATAAAGTTGCTTGCTGTGTTCGTACAGTTTTGATATTCGTGGTTGCGTGACGGCCACCGGCCTGTGATCTGTCGCCCGTTCTCCTCCTTGCCCCCCCCCCCCCTCGCCGGTGTCCGGGCGGAGCGCGCGAGGTGGGACGCCGTTAGTCGACACCGACGAGTCGCTCGTTATCGAGTATCGAGCCGCCGACGGTGCCGACGGTCTGTTTGTCTAGCGGCGGACGGCGTGTTAGCGCGGCGGGAGAAATGACGCGCTGGCAGCCGGAGCGGCGGAAGGTATCGGGACGGGTGGCGGGACTGTGGTGGGCTGAAACACCGCCCCACTCCCGTCGATGTCGTCTTTTCCACTTGCCGTGCCGTGTGTCGTTTTATACGACATCGTTGTTGGCCAGCCTCTAACGGTTCGTGACGGATCATTATGTGCTTCGTGTTGAACGCTCGTACTGAAATTGCAGAAATACTACAACCTGCCGCGTGCACTCGGAATGTCCGTTCGATCACGCCACGACTAATGCACGGCTAAACGTCCATTTGTCATGTCATTTAGTTTCTGCCGGCGATACAGTTTTCACCACCAACACCAGACCAATGACACGCCCGATTCTTTCCTTTCCTCTCACTCACACACCCTCCTCTGGTTTACCCGATCTCCATCGCGGCGCGCGGGCTACCTACCTCCCCTCCCCTCCTCTCCCCTCCCACACACCTTACTCCCCTCCCACCTGCCGTCTGGGCCTCCGCTGGTATGTATTGCTCGGAGGCGGCCCGGTCAGCTCCCGGCTGGCTCATGCAGTCGGCATCCGGTGGCGCCGTTTCCTGCGCCGCGGCGCCGCGCGGGGCTGCACGGGGCCCCCGCTCGCGGCCCGTGCCTGCACCGCACCTGGGCGGTGCATTGTGTAACCACGGCGCAGTAGAGCCACACCGCGTCTGAGCCTGCATGACTCATGGACGAAGGATAGGGGGTGGGGGGCGACGAGGGGCTTCCTGTCCAGGCGGGGCCGGGCAAGCAGATGTGTTTGTGGAGGAGTGTGCTGTATTTTGGGTTTTTATTGCATCCATTTCTGATCCAAGTCGAGAGTGTTACATACTCGGTGGCGGTGTTTCTATCGAAAGATAACCGTAGCGCTTCAAACTGTGCAATTTTACAGCACCTTACTAGCAAACAAATGGAAACATGGTGACCTGACTTACCTGTATACAATGTAATAGGTCCCATATGATGTCGTGGGTTGCCTGACCCGACGGAACGCCAAATGCTAATTTGCGTCTCGTCATTAAAATAATGATACTGGCTTTCCGAAGTCATAAATGAAGGAACTTTGATACGATAAACGTATATTCAAACGATGCCAGCATTCCCAGCAAATCAACCATCCTTTTTCTCATATGGTGCTCCTTACGGCAATTTCATGCAGCTTGAAACGAGATTGACTCAATCGAAATCGGTCACTGGCTAGTTTTCATTAGCTTGATGTGTTCTCTCATTGAGCCTGGATTTCTAAGTCAATGATATCGTTAATTTTGTTCGTTATAATTCACCGTGCACTCGTCTAAATATTTATGTGCTAAATTTGTCGATAATCTGTCTAATGCACTTACCGCAGCGTGACATTGGATGTGGACGTATGTGCAGTATGCAGCATCTAATGAGACGCTGTCTCCCTTTTCAGTGAAGATCGGTATCTTCTACGTCATATTCTACGCGTGTCTGTTGGCGTTCTGGGTGTTATGTCTGGTGATATTTCTACAAACGCTGAATCTCCGAGAACCACGGTGGACGGCGAAGAGTGGCAGCTTAATAGGACTCAACCCAGGTCAGTAACGCTTCGGTGCTGTTCTTCGCTGTTCTTTCGTTGTATATGTGTCCTTGTCATTGAATGGTGTTTTTCTTCATTTGTATTTTGATGCTGAGACGCATTGTTGTTCTGATGTCCACATTGACAAGAAAACGGCAATAGCACGGGAATATTAAAAGAGGGTAGAAATAAATTTTAGAAAAAAATGCAGCACAAAATAGTGAGGTTGATATAACATAGAACGAAATTGATCTTAAATCCTCGCCGTGCTAGGGGGTGGGCATTTTTACGCCTTCCCCCCCCCCACCCCCACCCCGCAGGTTTTCGCGAATGTCTAAAAACGCTTCTTTGGCACACCTTATCTTGCATCTTAGCTGCAGATGTGAAAATATCAGATCCAGGTATTCCAAGGTCAGCTCACCAGTCACGTCAAGTGACATTACCTCATACAGGGTGATCGAAAACAAAGTGTCACCCCTAATTTAAAAGCCATATAACTCGCGATTGGTTGGTCGTGCGACTTTGCGCCAGGCAGCATAAGAAAGAGCATACAATTTCCTTTCGAATGGATGTAAATATGCATGGTTTATGCCGCAAACGAAGATGTAGCTATTTAAAAAGTATGTTAAGGACGCAATTTGGCGTGTTCAAAAGTTTGGTTGTGCGAATTTGTACTTTTGACAGAGTTTTTGATCTGACAGCTCACGTGACAGCTCACGTGAGCATTTTTCTTAACTGTTCCATGGTTACCGCTGCATAAAATTGATAATCCGGTAGTGCAGGTTGTCGCAATGTTTCGCTAGTTACCGGCGAATTTGTGAATAATGAGGCCGCATGTTTGCAAGGAAGATCTGATAAAGTCTGCCTTGCCTAAGGTCAGCTGAGAAACGAGTCTAAGGTTAGCTGAGAAGCAGTCTGCGGTGAACAACATACATACACTCCATGTGTAATGTGTAAGGTGTGTGTCATGTTGAGTTACGATACTCATTGTTCTCGTTCAGCGGTGTCCGTTCCCGTTCGGTGAATTTCGTTTCACGTGAAAGCCGCACATTGACTGGTTTTTGGGCCCATGGGGACATGATTTGGAATAGAAAACAATCATGAATACATTCAATTGAAAAAAAAATTGCCTGCTCTTTCTGATGCTGCCTGGCGCGAAGTAATCCGACCTACCAGTCGCGAGTTATGTAGATTTTAAGTTAGGGGTGACACTTTTTTCGATCACCCTGTAGTTCCAACGCTCGCCATAGCTACCTGACTGAACGTTTGCTTAAAACGTTTACAGATTGATAAGTGCATCAGTGTGTGCAAAATGTTTATCTCAGAACCTCGATATCGGTGACCTAGGGTCAGGTCAATTTGTGACCCCTCCTCCCCCCGCAAATTGACAAAAGATGATCTTTATGCCCCCGAGATCATCTCAGTTCATGAAAGGTCTGCAGCAGTTTTTTTACAATAACTTTTGATAGACATGCTAGAGCCATCAAAACACATTGATTTTGTTCAGCTCGAGATTTTGTTCAGCTCGACAATAAAGATCGACTGATGTGCTGACTTGTTGATCTTTTTTCTTGACCTTGAACTTAGACCATTTTTGAATGTTCTTTTAAGGTCAAATTAGAGTTCATTCGACGCGTTTCGAAGAGAGAAACACAATGCTGCCAAAATCATCGTGCCGGTTTTGAACCGAAAGGTATAGCAGAGAAATATTTTCCGTAAAACATCAATTTTATCTTGAGGCGCAGACTTCTCTATAGAAAAATCTGTGCTTAAGGCCAAACCGTTGATCTTTTTTCTGAATGTCTGACTGTACCACAGATTCTGAGTCAGGGTATCATAAAACTTGCCAACGAGCTTTTAAAAAGATAGTGCATGGTGTATAGTGCTCAAATTCCTTTTCTCTGACGACGACTTTGCCGTTTGGCCTGGAGGCTGGAAACAATGCTCGTTTGGAGCAGTGAACGTCATTTCCATCCCGAGTCGGCGACCCTCGCTCGGCAGCGGACCCGAGCGCTGATCAATAGGATCCCGGCTTCCTCTGACGTTGGCCACAATCGGCTCAGAACTGAGGGGAGATAAGCGTGTCTCGTCCGTCCCTCCGACTTTGTGTCTGTGATTCTTCGACTAACCCGGCCGCCCAAACGAGGCTAAAGATGATCTCGTTGAGGTCAAGTAATTATATATGAACTAAAATAAAATGACACAGCACCACGATTAATGATGCCACGCTATATTTGTCTGATTTCCTGCCCTCGCATTAACCAACGTTTGTGTGATCCCCCGGTCATGAGCCGTGGCCATTGGCGAACCATTGTCCACCTGCCGTGTGATCGGTCCCCTGTGACCGGTACCGATACTACCTCGGTCGTAATTAACTAATTGTTACAATTGCCTAAGTGAGTGGCGGCAATCAGTAGGAGTGCTGATGCTAGTAACTGGTGCACTGTCCCGTAGTGCGGCATTCTGTTACTGGAGTCTAATAACATCCCCTACAAAAGGCTGAACATCGCCCAAAGAGTGGTGTGGTGTGCCATCGTTAAAACCTATCCTGTAGAACTGAGCAGCAGAATTCCGCACGCTTGATATCGGTGTGACATTGCATTCGTAATGATTTTTAAGCAGCTTTTAATGCAACTTAATTCTGATGACGTTTGATGTCGTAATATGTCAGCGATGCAAAATCACCTTACAGATTTGACATTTGCCTTTCCCATATTCAAAGCTCGTTGTTACACAACTTCAATCCGATTGTTTCATGCGTCCAATTAGATTTGACTCTCGGCTTCGAGTCATCATTCGGGCATCTTATATACTAGCCGCGAGGTGAACTGGTTGACCAAGAGTATATGTTTATGGCTCGGTTCGTAAGTGTTCGTAAAGGTACTGCGGTATCACTGATACTCTGTTGCACTGACCTGCCCTGTGCTCCCGGTCTCTTTATAGCTACCCTCTGTCCTGCCGTCTGTATAACTGACCGCGCTCTGTCCTGCCGTGCAGGTCTCGGTTTCCGTCCACGGCCGCCGGCCAAATCCATCGAGAGCACGCTGATCTGGTTCAACCGCGGCAAGGCTGAGAACTGGGGCCACTGGGTGAAGGAGCTCACCAACGTCACTGAGTGTGAGTTGTGAGAACTGGGGTCACTGGGTGAAGGAGCTCACCAACGTCACTGAGTGTGAGTTGTGAGAACTGGGGCCACTGGGTGAAGGAGCTCACCAACGTCACTGAGTGTGAGTGAGGAGAACTGGGGACACTGGGTGAAGGAGCTCACCAACGTCTTTGAGTGTGAGTTGGGAGAACTGGGGACACTGGGTGAAGGAACTCACCAACGTCACTGAGTGTGAGTTAGGAGAACTGGGGACACTGGGTGAAGGAGCTCACCAACGTCACTGAGTGTGAGTTGTGAGAACTGGGGCCACTGGGTGAAGGAGCTCACCAACGTCACTGAGTGTGAGTGAGGAGAACTGGGGACACTGGGTGAAGGAGCTCACCAACGTCTTTGAGTGTGAGTTGGGAGAACTGGGGACACTGGGTGAAGGAACTCACCAACGTCACAGAGTGAGTTATCGCTGATCGCCCGCGGCGGAGGCGGGGCGCAGTCACTCCAAACAGGGGATTTGGCCTTCATGGATGAGTTGTAGTGCTGCACAGGGTGGCAATTATGTGTGCAATATAATCCGACAGAAGTGCCCCAGTGGCCGTCCGCCCCTGAGACTGAGCGCCCGGTGTGCACCGCTCCCTCCACTGACCCGCTGCTGTGTGCCGCCCCGGCAGCGTACCGATTCGTCGACCCGAACGCCGGCGCCCAGCTGACCACCTGCGACTACGACAAGCCGGCCAACGAGAACCAGTTCTGCGAGTTCAAAATCGACGAGCTCGGCGGCTTTTGCACCAAGGAGCGCCGCTTTGGCTACGAGGAGGGCCGCCCGTGCATCATCGTCAAGCTGAACAAGATCTACGACTGGCTGCCCGACTTCTACCCCAGCGTCAAGGACCTGCCGGCACACATGCCGAACGCCGTGAAGGACATCATCGCCAAGGACTTTGCCGAGCCGGTCACTCAGAACGTGAGTGTGCAGGCGCGGCGAGCGCGCGGGCCACGCGTGAATGGGTCAGTGGCTGGTGTGATCAGTGAAGGGCTTATTACTGCTCACGGGAACAAATGATGAGGACGGCTGTGTTCATATCGTGTGATATTTTACTACAGCGTTGTTCCTACAAAGGTTTTACCGTTTTCGGGACCGTTAATGGCCTCATTTGTGGTGTCGACATTGGTCTAACGTCCGACACTGTTTGTCCAGCTGGTCTAATTGGGGGACTGCGGACCGTCACCAGCTGTTGTCCCGTCTGACACCCTCCCCGCTACCGTCCGCAGATCACCCGACAGAACGTGTGGATCTCGTGCGAGGGTGAGAACCCGGCCGACATTGAGAACATCGGCCTGGTCAACTACTACCCGCACCCGGGCTTCCCGACCTACTACTACCCGTTCACCAACGTGCAGGGTTACCAGAGTCCGCTGGTCGCCGTCGAGTTCGCCGACGTCAAATGTGAGTAATTCCACGGGACGGTTGGGGCGGGGGGAGGAGGGCCAGTTTTTCATGGGACCAATGGGAGATGTTTTGTCATGGCTTCTGGTTCAGTGAGAAAACATAGTTTCATTGATTCTTTCGTTTTTTTTTTTTTTTTGCTGTCAAAGCTTTCTTATTTTGGATAGAAATGAATCGTATGACAATCAAAATAAAATAATGCGACGCTTTATTGCGCCCAAACCAGGTCATCGGGCCTCACATTCCGTGGCTATGTGTCGTGTGTGATAAAAATATTCATTTGCCTGCTCTGGGGTTTGGTAGGGACGTTTTTGTGCCCGTCTGCAGTTCGGATTCTAACTAGCAAATTCCGTACAGACGTATGTTTTTCTGTGTTTCTGCGGAGTTGTGTATTTGTCTGCTCGGCGGCGTCTTCCGTCGACACTCGGCCGCCGAACCGTGGCCTCGGCCCGCCCCGACCCGCCGGATGTGCCAGATTAGGGTGGCCGCCGGGGTCTATTGTTCCCTTTCGCCCCTTACCGGACGCCTGCCCGCACCGCTGGCACCGTGACGCAGCGGGGGCGTCCTGGGCCTTATGGCGGGGGCGCCATGGTCCTTATAGCGGGGCGCCCTGGTCCTTATATCGGGGGCGTCTTGGTCCTTATAGGCGGGGGCTTCCTGACTTCCAGCGGGGGCGTCTTGATCCTTATAGCCCGGCGTCTTGGTCCTGTACAGCAGGGCCTTTAAGTCCTGTACACCGGGGATGTCTTGGTCCGGTATGCCGGGGGCGTCTCGACCCTTTATAGCCAGGGGCGTCTTGATCCTGAGTGGCGGGCATCTCGGTCCTGTGTCTCGTATGCGACGCCGACTCACCCCGTGCCCCGAGTCTCGGGCGTGTTATTGGTGTCATATTACCTCGAGTGCGCGCTGTGCCACTCCTGACTGCGGCCCCTCCATCTTCCAGCCGGTGTGCTGATCAACATCGAGTGCAAGGCCTGGGCCAGGAACATCCACCACGACCGGAAGGAGCGGCGCGGCTCGGTGCACTTTGAGCTGATGGTGGACTAGTGCCGCGCGCCCGGCGCCCGTAGTCGACCTACGTAGCCAGCACCTGGCGGGCGCGGCCGAGCCGAGCGGAGAGGAGGGGAAGGGAGGGCGCACTGCCGGACGGCGGCGGCCGCAGCTGCCGCCGGCGAGACTCGATCCGACCGGACCGCGGCCGGGAGCCATCCCGGCCGCCGAGAGAGAGTGGAGCAGCGACAGAGCCGGAGCGAGAGGGAGTGAGATAGCGCCGGCCCCGACTGCGGGCTCTGTAGGAGTGCACGGACCCAGAGCGCCAGTGGTCAGTCAGCCGACAGAGGGTACATGTGTTCCGGCCGCGGCCGACCGTCTGTTTCACCGTGTTTTATCGTTTGTCTCATTTTGTTCGTTGTTCTAAATGACAGTGACGTAGACGCGACCGACCGGTCAGAGATGTCAAATTGTTTGCTCAATCGGTCGGAGTTCCGTTTTAGCGCTGTGCGAGTCGCTGCATGTACTTATGCCCGTCCCTTCTGCTGGATAGGTGGGGTGGGGAAGGGAGGGAGGGGGAGGGGGCACCGCCGATAGGCCTGCCATTCGTCCAGCATTCCACACAATCGAGAGAATCTCTCCACGCATTTATGGTAGTTAGAACCAGCGGAGTTGGAGCCGGCGAGTGGCGGAGCTAGATCTGAGGGCGCCTCCGCCGCCCGATCGTTAACTAGGCAGCTACGTGTGGGCGCGCGCCGGGCGCCGTAGTGTGACTGTGTGGCAGCTAAAGGCATTCCAGCGACGCATGGCGCGCCGCCGAGCCGCGTGTTCGATGAATAAATCCCGGAGGTGATGTGCCGACTGGTGTGACGCTGCGGAACGTGATGGTGACGGGCAGATGAAGTGGGGAAGACGGCGGTGACTGAATGGGGGCGGGGGCTGGCGGCGGGACAGAGAGCGTGGGAGCTGCTGGCGGGCAGAGGATGACGGGAAGGCGGTGTCGCCGGCGGCTCTGACTGGCAGAGACGGCGGCGGTGCTGGCAGAGGGGAGGCGGCGCCGGCGGTGACACGGGTAGAGGAGGGAGGCGCCCGTCGCCCGGCCGCCGCCGCGGGGATCGATGCTGGATGGAGGCCGTCCAGACAGCTCTGGGTCAGAGCGGGGAGCTGGGCACGGCGCTGAGGGAGGCGGCCGGCGCCGAACCACCCCTTCCGACAGCCAGCGCCCGGTCCGACCGCGCGTGGAGCCACGCTATTGGAATATAAACAAGCCAACCCACCTCGGAACCCAGCAGAGTTGCCAGAAGAAGCCCAGTTCCATGAGTATTGAGTTCAGTCTGAAACCCACTCGGCCATAACGCCGCCCACGAGTCACCCCGGCGCTCCTCGCCAGGCACGACATAACCGGGATCCCCAGATTCTGAAACCGGGGCACGTCCGCTCACAAACCACTGAACCTGGGTCGCCAGACGGGTCAGATTTCTGCCGCTGACCATCAGTGTCCCGTGGAGGCGGGTACGTGAGGGGTGACTGAGCGCTCCTGGCGGCAGAGGACGGCCCGCTCGGCGGCCGTGAACGAGAACGCTGTCCACAGATGGCGCTGGCAGCGGGCTCCTGCAGTTATACTGTACCGCACGACACGGCGCCTGAAGTTACACTGTTCCGCACGACACGGCGCCCGCCTGCAGTTATACTGTGCCGCACGACAAAGCGCGCCTGCAGTTATACTGTACCGCGCGACATGGCGCCCGCCTGCAATTATACTGTACCGCACGACACGGCGCCCGCCTGCAGTCATACTGTACCGCACGACATGGCGCACACACCGGCAATAGCGTGCCTCTCTCCGAACCAGAATGATAATATGGCGGTAGTTAACGAGCCGTTTTATGTTTTACCTTAAAACCAGTAAAACGCCTTTTGGGCGAAGAACGAGCGAGCGAGATAGTGAGCCCTGCACGTGCAGAAGGGCGAGAGGGTACTTCCAACGGGCTTGTGCAAAGCACCCTTCTAACCGGTCGCTAGCGGTGTACCAAATTTGAACGCAATGGGCCCAGCCGTTCCTGAGATCTGGAAGCGGCATTCTGCGCGTGCGCACGTGCAAACGGGGTCCAAAATGACTTTTGCACGGCACCCTACTAACCGGTCCCCAACCGTGTACCAAATTTGAGCGCAATCGGCCCAGCCGTTCTCGAGATCTGGAAACGCCCCCTGCACGTGCGCACGTGCAGTAGCACCCTAACCGCAACACATGGGAATGCATTGCCTGGTGGGTGCCTACCTGTATGCCAAGTTTCAGCGAAATCGCCCCAGTAATTACCGAGTTACTGAAATGGGAACAAATTTGGCACCTCTTATTGTTGTATTTTGCACGTGCAGTGGGGGTCACTCACATAGATGAAGAGTATCCGACCTTTGGTAGAAGGGATGCAGCTACCCTATAAAAATGACCGCAAGACAATCGCTCAAGCCGCTGCTGAGATATGGGCCTCTCAAAATCATTACTTTTGCAAAACTGCTTGAACACCCTTGACTTTTCACGTGGCACGTGCCACGGCGGTCACTGAGATGTATCAAAAGTAGTCAATTACGGGGTAGAAGGGATGGGGCTACCCAGCACAAAAGACCGCAGGCCATTCGGTCCAGCGGTTGCTGAGATATAAGCCTCTCAAAAGCGTTACAGGCCGGGCCGGGCCGGGCCGCTCATACTGAGATTTTTCCGTTATATTGAAAAGACTTCGCTTCGCTCGCTGCGCTCGCTCGCTCGTAACCAGATGATATAAAATGTTTCTCCCCATATAATTTAAGGTCACAATGCGTCAGCACTACAATATACCTACTCTACAGTTAGGTATAACTGCAATACAATATATAGGCAATATTACCTAAAAACACGACTTTTCCCCGTACACTGAGCTCCAATGGTTGGCGCTTGTTTGGTTGGTGGGTTAGAATCTAAGGGAAAACATCTTACTCTCAGCATAACTTCTTACAACACTAAACAATCTGGTAACCTTGAAATGGTATGGACAACTACATATACTCAGTAGTTGACCACTTCCGACAAACTTTCGGTGACATTCATCGCTAAAAGCATGGCTAAAAGTAGTCATTCGGTTGATCTCGACCGGAGGATAATGCTTAACAACTGCAGCCGACTCGGTGGTTTGTTTGTCGGCAGATCGCCGCTCAGCGCTCTCCGCTGAAGGTGTGATGTCCGATCACTGTCCACTGTCCCAGTAACACCCTGTCCGGGGTCTGGCTGGCCGCTGTCCGCTCGTCCCACCCGCTGCCGCTGCAGGTCTGCCGTCCCGTCGCTGTCCAATCCTCTCTGTCCGGGGCGGTGCACAGTGGGGATTTTTCAGATCTAGCACGTATTTATTCGTAGAGGGCAAACCATAGGTAGTATTGTAGCCAGATTGTGCACAGATGTTGGCTGGTGTGTTCTGGTGAGAGTGTTACCTGTAAATGTGCATAATCAACATAGTATAGGGGGGTCAATTGGACCCCCGGCTCAGCCGTTTGGCCCCTGATCAAGCTAGAGCTTCGCGGAAAAATCAAGCGTGCTGTCTATGACGAGATGAGGCCGAATATATCCAATTTCAAAGTCCAAGGTCATTAGTTGACTTTCCAAGTCAAGTCAATGACCCAACTAAAGATGGAAAATCGAGACCTCTTGAAACTTCGTAAAGTTAGGATGTTACGGGGTATTTTGGGGTGCTGATCACGAATTTCATGTTAGTTTTGATCACAGACGATGTCTTCATGCATTTAAGCCAGGTCGGGTCAGGTCAGGTCAGCCAGTAGACGTCCTGCCGGCCATCCATAATAGGTGTCACCTACTACTGACAGCTTCGTAACATGGTACGAAGGCACCAGAACTACTTCCTAAATATTCAAATGGTTGCTAAATTCGAAATCAACACCAAAAACTACCCTAGAAGCAAGTAAAACTCGAAAAAGTGAACCAAGGTCATCAAAGGTCAATGACCTTGACCTGACCTTCACGTGACCTTGACACCCACCATAATGCATGGCACCAGCATCATTTCACATATTTGAACGTTTAAAACCACAAAAAGACTGGAAACCGCGGATAATGTGAGCTGGCATACGCCGAATCGCGATTCCGGCCAAACATGGTCTCGAGAAATATGCCACAGGTCAAAGGTCAGTTGGGTCAGAGTCATGAAATTTTTAGGTTAGATGTAAAATTGATGATCTCGAGGGCAACGAAAGTTTCGTCGCGATCGGCTGCTTTTTGCGCAAGTGATTTGCGGAAAACCATGGGGTTTTATCCGACCCCTTCCCCCTCCCCCTCCCCACTAGTGCTAAGGTTAATAAGGTTACGGTATGTATAATTTACGCCTGTGATCCTATTCCTCATGAATGTGTCTCAGAAAATATGCATCATATAAGTCAGGAAGTAAAATTATTCGCCTATGTCTGGAACATACCTATATCGTGCTGTTTGCCCTAGCGCTCCTAGAGTGGGGTATTAAGGGTGCGTTAACTTCGGAGGTGGCTCCGCTCAGCGTTGGTGTCCGAGCACTACTACTCCGATTCTCAGCCAGTAGATGTCACCAGGGTAGAGCGCTTTTTCCCACGTTAATGACCTTCTCCCTCTCCTCATTTCACGGCCCTTACGATAACGACGTTTGGTTACTGCGCCGGCGCGGCGGGCGGCGCCGACTGAGGGAGATCATGGTGTGTAAACACCGCGCGGAAGGAACACGTCTCTCGACAGGCCTTCCCGGCGCCGTCCTTAGCCTGGTGTAGGTACGTCCTACTACCCAGTTAGAACGAAACTGATTAATTGATATGGATACATGTTATCGAATATTGAGTCTGCCGCAGCTCTAGTCGCAAGAATGCGTCTGATATCCTCACATGATTGACCTGACGGCATTGTTTTAGTGAAATGCAGTGCTAGATTCACATTGCTACACATACTACCAGTAAAACGCCTTATCCCGCGCCCCGCTGGGGGAGGGGGGACAGAATCTGCCCCCTCCCGTTTTTCGCAAATAACTTCTTAACGCGTTACGCCAGCGACGTCAAACTTTCAGTACCTTATCATACATCAATTTGACACGTTCCCTGAAAATTTGAGCGAAATCCGTCGGATTTTTTTTTGAGAAATTGACGTTTTAGTGACGTCATGTTCGCCATTTTCGCTTAAAAAACGGCAAAATTTCAAACGCCGCTAACATCTTCAGTTTAAAAGGAATCAAGACGTAGCAAAAAAGGATATACGTGATTCTGCTTTGTCTATCAAATGGCTATCTCGGTTTTTTTGAAAATTTTGGATTTTGGCCCCAATTTTTTCAAAAAACTGACTTTTTTGGGAAAATAATTATAAAATCCAAAATTTTGAGTGTATCGAAAAAACCGGAACATATGTCAGAGAGGTGGTCTATGTGCACCTACATACTAATTTTTAGAAGAATTGGTTCAAAAATGTGGGAGTTATTCAAAATTTTATGACGTCACGACACACAAAATTTTTGAAAAATGATTTTTTTTGGAAGTTCTAGACCTCGTACGGAAACAAAAATAGCACCATTCGATTCGCCGTGAAAACTGCATCACATAGACACCTTTTTAGGCCTTAACAACCAACTTCAAAATTTGACCTCACTTGACCTGACCTTGACCTGACCTCGACCTGAATTTCATCCAGAGGTGGTCCATATCACCTATTGAGTGTGCCTATTGAATTCTATGAGTAAAATGACCCATAAAACATGTGTCGCATATGCCCTTTTCTATATTTTGTTTTTGGTGACCTGACCTGACCTGACCTGACCTTGACCTTGACCTTTGAATGACATTGTATGCAACGAATATTGTCTTGGT